TCTCACATCACCAAGCGCGAAGCGCCGTGAGATATTCGGCGAGTCGCATGAAGGGTGCGCTGCATCCTGCTAAGGGTTTTCGGCATCTTGTGCTTACTTCCTTGCATACGGATGACAGCTGCGTATGACTGTATTTATTTTCTGGTGCTTTCACTTTCTGAGACAGTTGTAAGCACTGTGTAACTGCCTCGAGGGTGCTTGACCATTTTAACACAACGTGGTGCGATCATCCCCCTTGCGCGGAGTGAGGGTTCTCGACCCCGCACAACATGATCTACTCGACCACCATTATGGTTACCGCCAAAAAAAAAAAAAGGTAAAAAACAAACAACGGTAACCTGATTGCCGAGTTCACCAAGTGAATTGACTTGTTGTGTCGTTGCCAAGCGACGAAAACCCAATCCCGATGGCAAATACCGGGGGGGGGAACCGACGGGGGTTGCTTTCTTAAAGTCAGCACCGCACCACAAAGAAAAAAACCAACAGTGGGCAGAAAAAAATGCGAGCGAGAGACCAGACATACTTTTGTCCATGGGGGGTTTTAAGACGGGCTGATGTCGGCAAAGCCAATCTCGTTTGCGTTGTGATGCGTACTCTTCCACAACGCAACCGTTCTCCTGACGCGACCCGTGGGAGGGCGGTGACTGGGGATGGTGTGAGAAAAAGAGAATTGAGGCACAGAGTAACCCCGTACAAGGCAGCAGCGCCGAGCAATATAACCCGCTGCGAACGACAAAATGGGCGTATTCGGTCGCTAATTGGCGGCGCCATTTCGCCTTCACGTGGGCGTTCTGCGAAAGATACCACCACTATATATTCCCCCGTATCCTCTGCAATGCAATGTCGGAGAGATACGGAGAATTCGCCGAAATCGATCGACTCGGTATCAACCACGAGAAAGAGGCGTTTTTTTCAAATATGAAAACATAACGACAGAAAAACACACGGCGATGACCCATACAGCATGTAAGAAGCACACAAACAACATAGGTTCGGAAACAGAACTAGGGGAAGCTGAGACCTTTCAATCACTAGCGGTGATGACTACTAGCCCCGCGACAATGCGGATGGAATACCGTAGCCTTGACAAGGGCGGCCGGTGCTTGGTGCGGAAGTACATCACTCCGGACGGTCGTGAACTGGGCATGTTAGGAGCAAAGCCGGGAATATGTCAATATTCGACCGCCTAGTGCCTGTTTTTGACAATACAGCATGGGCTAGTTGAACGGGAAATGCGGCATCAAGTCTCTTACCTTCTGAGCTCGACCCTGGTGCAGATTTTGGCGCGGTCGTGCCCAGTGCAGGTGAAGACGTAGGCGAAAGTGTGGCCGATGCAGCGAGTGCCAGGTTGGCGGGTATTGGAAGACGAATTTGGGTTTGGACGTTTAGACAATCGAGAGCTTCGCCAGTTATTCATGCTTTACCCTACATACCCCCAGCCGGAGGAGTGGAAAGTCAAGCCAACAAGGGAAGAATGACAGACCACCATTCCTTGGTTGTACGGTTTCGTGCACTCAACCAGTTGGAAGAATAATTAGTCCGTTGAAATAACTTCTTGAGAAGGTCATTTACAGTAATGATTGGGTTTGCAGTCGGCTAAGCTGATCTCTAGAGGAGTTATCACAACATCGAATATGAAGATGCATGTTTGCTTACTACCTTCGTAGGCCATCAGCTGAACCTCTGAACAATCTTGTTTTCGTAGCAGAATGCGCTTGTTGAACGGGAAACGCGGCATCAAGTCCCTTACCTTCTGAGCTCGACCCTGGCGCAAATTCTGGCGCGGGCGTANCGTTCGAAGAATATCAGTGTTTGGGGGCGCATCGCGGATATTGCACATGAAGGTACAAACCCTAGTGCCGCTTAGGAAGGACGATGGCAACACATCTTTCTCAAAATCGAGCATGCCTACATCCATCCCTCACCCGATGGTTACCTTCGAGATCAGTCTCGCCCAGAGGTTTGGAGATACAGTTGTACACTTTTTCACCGAGTAAGAGTCGTCAAGTAGTATAGAACAGCCAGGTTTGAGCTCAATCAACACTGCAGCTCCTTTCGATCATATCGTCGTGACTTCAAGCGATGGCCGCAACTGAACAATGTGCAGACCCATGCTATACCATGCATTCCGTTCACATTGCAGTCTGGGGGTGGAAGAGCTGACCACCCTTTACAGCGACCGGGGTCGATGTGCACTATCTGGACCAACAGGCGACGCCGAGCGATGTTTCGCTGGACCTCTGTGCCTCTCACTACGAAAAGTCGCTGTGGGATGCCTCGATTGGGAAACGGAGCGCAAACCAAAATCCCACGCACACTGCTCCTGGTCGACCCGGTACCTTCGTGGGGCCGACTGTGATGCAGCAGTCTGCTACGAAAAAAGCAACATGGTACCGGTGAGCACCTATCGACCCCCAAGCCCATCGGTACACCGTTGTCAAGCGAGACACTCACCACATTCGTCACCGTATGCATCAACGTAGAGCCCGTCTTCAGAGAAATAGGCATCATCATCAACTTCCACCCTGCGAAGTGCGCACAGGAGGTCAAACAGGTCTCGCTATACAGACAGTCGAAGTAAATAAGGCGAGGTCGACCTACGACGCAATGTATCAATGGACATGCTACATGGATCAAGCAAACAAGGAGGATGCCCAGAAAAACTCTGCTTTCTGACGGTTCAACGCAAGTTTTGTTTTTTTTTTCACTTCAAATCAGCGCTCACAGCACTAGTGTCGTTCACTCCAACCCGTGGTCACACAGAAGGGCCCCTCTCTACCCTCCCCTCCTGCGGTACGTTGCCTTCGATTTTCATGCGGGGAGAGTTCAGCACTCTCTTCCCTCTGTGTACACACGATGAACTACGGTAGCGCTATCCACTAGGCCAGGAGCGGAAGCAAGAGAACAACTCACTTTGCAAGAAAAGCTTGCTTACGCCGGGATCTGAACCCTTGACCTGACCTCTAGAAGGTTTCGAGGGTACCAACTAGACCACCGGGGCGACCGGGGTATCAATGCAATGCATTATTTAGACGTGCTAAGAGTCCACGCGTGCGAAATCAGAACAAGTTGTGGGCCCGAACAATATGGCCAACGCGATAGCTCAAGACTATTTTAGTGTTCGACGAATCACGTTTCTGTTTATCATTCTCACAAGTACATGCAACACTTCTCGCATCACGCATCACAAGAGTTAGGTTACCTGCATCAACACCAATCGGTTATTGTAGTAACACGCACTCGTCCCATATCGCGAGCAGCAGCGCACAACAGGTGTGCTCGGTATCTACGTGATGCTGGCCGGATCCGCCATTACGCGATAGGGTGCATACTCTTCTCTTGATATGTATTACAAAGCGATAGACCCATGCTTTTTAAGAGTTGCTCACAGTTCATTTGAGGGCAAGCACTCCAGAGAATTCCCCTCCAGGCGCCTAAAATTCAGGTCCCGAACGAGATTTGCCGGCGCATGACCGGACGAGAGCGGCAGATGCAACGCATCATACGTTGGGGAAGGAACAACAAGGTTAGCATGGTGGCCAATAGCGATACGAACAGTTGGTGAGGAGCCATCGCCTAACACAGCAACAAATCATTGCCGCAGCACCGCGCCGATGGTGTTCCAGGTAGAGCGAAAATGGTAATTCAAGTATAGGACGATACTCTTCTTTTCTCTTGGTTTGCCTGGGAGGAAATCGATACACTTCTTCAGAGATACAAGATAATCTCGCGAGGGAAAGGGAGAACTTTCAGTAAAACCGGAGGGGCTTGAGATATAGGAGATATATTGTAAGAGGGGCACCCAAAAAAGTGTGCCATGTCGGGAAACTATCATTATTGCCCGCTACCTCGGGCCAACGCATGTCTACAATTCCCGACAAGCGCGAAATACAACCACAACTCCTTGCTTTGCAGGTGTTCTCGCTAGCAGGAAAGGATCTACCAGAGAACCGGCGGGTTGAAGCCATTATGCCAAATACACATGAGATAAGGAAATCACACAAGTATGGCTGTGATCTCATGCCGAAAGCAGGCAGACCTCAGTGCATAGTATGCACGTACGCCGTAAGCTGCAACGACGAGGATTAACATATACTCGATGTAGTGCCCCGGCAAATTATCATGTGGACCACGAATGAAATGCTTACGCAGCAGTTGATCGCAGCACGTTGAACTACCTGGCCTCTGAAGCTCCCAATTACGAACGGAATATAGATACACGAAAGCTAAAGAATGCCGTAATCGATGTGATTACTGTAGACCGTTCAGTACCTGCACGAGACTAAGAGTGTCAAGTTGAGATAATTCGTAAGAGGTCCATTCTCAATCAATGAAGCCAACGATCAATCATCTCAGAACCGAAGGGCGTCCGAACTGCATCAGCTACCCTTTCTCCGGATGCGCTGCTTACCATCAACTTTGACGCCAGGTTAGAGCAAGCGAGCTGATTTGAAAGAGGCAAACTCTCCCAGATTCGACAGCAATTGCGCCCCTAGTGCAATGGTACTCTCCCCAGCATCTCCCGACTACTCGTTCGACCCCCACGTTCTCTCTTGCAAAGAAAGCAGTGAACGCATGCACCGACTGCAGATCTGCAAACCGGGAAAATGTTTGATTTCTTTTGGCTAGCACAGGCTGAGCGCATGCGGAAAAGTATCCCAGCTACTTACAGAATTGTCAGGGCCGTAAGATCTCCGAAGGTCCCCTCCGGCAGCGTGGTGAGGTTGTTGTTGGACAGGGACCTTTGAGTGCCAAGGGGAGGCCATCAGCGGAACAAGGCAGCCACAAGTTAGCCATGAATTCCCGTTTGATTGTGCACCGACGACGTTTCGAATGCTTTGGTAACGGAATATTTTCCGCCCCGTGATGAAGTGCCATTTGTTCGGACACGGAGCCGATTATACCGTAGGTCAAGCCCACTGCATACACAGCGGCCTGCGACAAGCCGTACTACCGCAGTACTTGATCATCCCCGGAAAGGTTCATCTCACTGGGAAAAATGGCCTGGCGCGTCCTCGATATTTGAAGAGTGGCTTTGCACACCAAAAGCAAACCCACGGAGTTAAGCGTTCCCAGGAAGACAAAACTGGAGTGTTTACGGGTGTTGATGTTGGTTACCCAACATGCCTCACATAAGCTTGAGCGCATTTCGGGAAAATGGCATGTTTTCATATCTGTTGCTACAACCCCAGAAGGGGAGAGGAAACCTTTGCATGAAAAAGAACGATAGGTGTGATACATGGAGCATCGGCGGTTGGTTGCGCGTCATCTGATGATTGGAGAGTTGCGGAGCCCCGTGTGCCTTGGTCTATCTGGCTTACCCCCGCCTCGGGCTCCGGGCATGTCAATACGGTTGTGTGCCCTTGAGGTGCTGGCTGCCGCACATGCTGATCTACGAAACGCGGCCAGCCCACCAGCACGTACGCACGTCCTTCAGTTCAGTGGCGCTAGCAACGCCGCGATGGCCTGGGTACAATTACAACAATCATGCCTTCTTCCCGCTACAGCGAAGGCGACGAGTTGGCAGTTGGAGGACCCCGTTCCAGGGTTGCATTGAGAACACCGCCAATCGGATAAGAGGGCTAGGATATAAGGCCGAGAGGGCACCACCATGTAAAGGCTCTAAGGCGAATGCCAGGAAGCGACAACTGATCCCGATACGTAGTACGATCCTTGGGTGCTCACGTTTCCAGCAACGCCAAGATCGCTTCTTTCTCTCTTACTTCCTCTGTATCATAAGTTAGGGTACCTAAATGCAATAGATTGTCTGGGTGCAACCGCGTTAGTGATGGTAGCATAGTCGGGTTTGTATGAGATATAACAAAGAAGCGATAGAAAAAATAAAATAAAAAAACGAACATCTATCTCTGTACCTAATATCGGTCAAAATATACCCTATTTTGGCCTGTTTTCGGAATATTTTTGAGAAAATATTATGGCATTGTTTCTGAGAATTCTCGAAAAAAATCTCAAAACCATCTGATATTAGTACCCTACCGGCCCACTACTCACGCTAGCGATGGAATCGCCCCCCACCACACCACCTCGCACAAGGGGCACCGACTTATCGGTTGGTAGGCGCTATGCCATGGCGGTAGAAATTGCGATGGGCATTCAGCCGGGGTTGTCAACGATTCCCAAGGGCGTGCTTGACCCGATCTGCGAACGCTACGGTGTCGGAAAGAAGTACCCGTCCAAGTGTCTTGATTTTAGTGTGTGACCCCCAAGTGTCTTGGTTTTAGTGTGGCTCACTACTATACTGCTTTTATTATAGGAGGCGCGACATGGATCGTTGAGTAGAGGGGGGGGTTGGATGAGGGCCCTACTGTTGCTTGCTTTGCCCCGCAAGTGTCTTGGTTTTAGTGTGGTCACCCCAAGTGTCTTGTTTTCAGTGTGGGGGCCACTATATGCTGCTTTTAGTATGGGGGACGCGTCATGGATCGTTGAGTAGAGGGGAGGCTAGGTTTAGGGTCAGGGATAATTCTTGGTATTTTTGCCTTGTTTTTGTCA